GCTGGAAGTCCAGGATCAAGGTGTCCCCGGGTTTGGTTTCTCCTGAGGACTCGCTCCTTGGCTTGTGGATGGTTGCCTTCTCCCTGGGTCTCTCATGGTCTTTTCTCTGGTGTCCCTGTACGTGTCCAGATTTCTTCTCATAAGGACACCAGTCAGACTGGACTAAGTCTCATCCTAACGGTGGCCTTATTTTAGCTCTTTAAAGGCCCTATCTCCAAAGACAACCACATACTGAAGTCCTGGGAGTTAAGGCTTTAATATATGAATTTGGGGGGGGGTACAATTCAGCCCATAACACTCCCCTTAAATTAAATGAAACATTAATAATTACAATGCTTATCCCTTTATTTAAAACAAATAATCCACACATACTAAGAGGTGCCATAATTGTGTAACTATGGGAAAGGCCAGTCCAGTTTGAGGGGCCCTTTAAGCGGCAGGCATCTTTACCTTCCCTGTGACAGAAACAGTAACTGTACCCCAAGTATCCACATGTGCCCCCATATTTCTCAGCCTCTCGCTCACAGGAAGGCCGCAGCACTAGTTCCAGCCCTCAGAGAACACTCAAGGGCAGAGGAAGGCCCTCCGGCTCATGCTTCCTCTGTTGCCCCAGCCACGGAACCGTGGATGAGCCATGGGCGGGAAGCAGCCTGGATCCCTGAGTCACCACATGGAAGGCGGCGGCTCTGGCGTCCGCCAAACTGCATACGAATTTGTGTGAGAAATAAACCTTTACTGGGCAAGTCACAGAGATTTGGGGTTTGTTATCAGCACAAAGCCGCATCTATCTAACACACTGGGCTGCCAGGGAAGAAGTGAACACTGACGAAGGGGTCACGGAAGGCATTCTCCTCGCAGACCTGCCACGAATTCACCGCCCAACTTTGGGCGAGAAGCCGTGTTCGTGACACAGGCTTGCATCCTGCCCTTTTCAGCGGGCTCCGTCATGAGGCCTATAAAGAATACATTTTTGTTCTTCCTGAGGGCTTATAACACCAGCCAAAGGCCTTCCTTTCAAAATAGCTAATGGGTCATCTCCAGAGCAGGGACTATGTTGTGTAACTAGCTCAGGCCCTGAAGTCGGACCCATTTCTGAGAATAATGCCGTGTCCCGGCATTGTGTTCCCTGCAAATGTGCCATTGTTTGGTTTAACACCACTAAGCTCTAGCTGACCCCTGGGTTTGCTCCACACCAAGCTACTCTAGGCTGCCAGGGCCAGTTGCCCCAAATGCCTCCTTATCCACACACCAGCTCAGACGTAGATATCCCCGTGGAAGGGGATTGCGAAGGTTGAACTACTCCCCACCCTTCCCCCACCCCAGTCCATTGGTGCCACAACCATCAGATCTCAGAGATAACTGTGTGTCACGAAAACAGGTCCGCAGAAAAGAAGTTCAAATATATACCCCATTTGTCTTTGGAACCAGATGTCTGAAAAGCTCCCTTGACGAAAAAGCTGCCACAGATAATACACTCATTTACTACTCAGGAAATATGCTCCTTTCATTGAGAAGTGATGACATGAAATTGAACCAGCTCCCAGTACTGCCCTGAATTACTTTCATTGTGCCTGGAGCTCATAGAGGGTCCTACAAAGAAAACAAATATAATAACCGAGAAGCTTCCAGACCCCCCTAAAAATATCAGTCTTGTACTCTTTCTGACTTCGTTTCATGACATGGCTATTTAGAAAATGTTTTATTGATTTCATCTAGTAAAACCCAACAGCCTTTTATGAGCTAATGCAGATAACAAAGAGGTCCAGGGGTTGCTACTCACTTGGAAGATCTGTTGAGAAAGAAAAAGTCTTTCTCCGGTGGTTGGATGGTGGAAAGAGCACAATGTGCAGAATCTTAAGAAGCTGCACGATTCTGATAGTGACCTGAAATTGCAAAGACTGGGTCTACGGAAGAACCTCAAAGATACCCGTTGTAACGACAGCTTGATCTGATGTGGACTCTCCACTCTCCCCACGACAGCCACACTCTGACTTGTGTGTGTTCTTTGAGGAAGGAGCCCTGCCTCCCAGACCTGCTCTGGGACCAGCTCACTTAGGGATGCTGTGGAGTCCTTAAACCATTCAGGGCCCCAGTTTTCTCTTCTTCAAAAAGGTTGGGGTTGAAGCACATAACCTCAGGTTCCTTTCTGTTCTGAAATGTTCTGACTCCTAGAAGGAAAGAGCATCACCAAAACCAGATACTCATTGTGGCTCCCCAAGCCCATCAAGCTTCAGGGAGCTTCGTGTGGCGGAAGGTGCACTCCCACCATGCCATCCTCTGAGCCACACCATCCAGGGGGACACAAGGCTTTAAGCAAGGTGGACAGTGATGAGTGAAGTCAGAACTGGGACAATCCAACCCTCCCGTTCCACTTCACCAGCCTTCTTCCCCCATCCCTAAAGCAAGGACAAAAGCTGGAGGTACTGTTCACAGATGTCATTCTTCATGTACCAATTTCAGAATCTCCAAGGGAGATCCTGAACCCCCTAAAAAAGAAAAAAAAATGCTGATTTGTCTTGAACCGCTGTCTGCTGTACGTCGGTCAGATAAGAATTCTGTAGATCATACACCTGCTACGAGCAAAATGAAGTGGTGATACAGGAGCAGAAGATGCCCCCAAATACCCTACAGCTCGATTCCCACTTGTATCCGGTCAGTGGCCACGGACTTTACGTAGAAGAGAGCCGACTACTGCAACATACTCAGTGTGTTAAGATTTACCAAATGCAAATAAATGAAGCAGTCAGAGTGAGGGAAAAGTGTATTTCACAGTCATTATAAAAGTACATATATTTAATAATGGTGACATAAATACAGTCCTTACTTAACGACCAAATCGTACAATCACAGTTGACTCTTCCTCCAGGACTTCACACGGTGATAGGTTGGTCATGTCCGTCAGTTAACTACAGGCTGACTGAGGTCATGGGCACAGACTAACGAGAGACAGTCTTGGGTTGCACAGACAACACACTTTGTACTTACCAAAGGGACAGTCAAGTTTCCCATATAAATATAATAAAATAATAAAGAATTTAACATTTCTTCTTTCACTCGGTTTCATAGATTTGTCAGGTGCTCACATACAAAAAATACAGTTGGCCCCCCCCTTCCTCACTCCCCCCTCACCTCTCACTGGGTTCTGGAATAAACCTGAGTTCACAGTTCAAGTGACCAATGGTGACATGGTCAGTTAGTTGTATGACCATCTGCGGCTGGGTCGAGGAACAGAACGCGTGTCCCAATGAGCTAACAGCGATACAGAAAAACACTCACGTTCTCAAGGAAAGTACAATACAAGAACGAGACATAGAGGGAAAGAAGTTCACAAGGCACAGGGACAGAGCCTGCAAACCTGCAGAGCGTCACACTTTCAAAAAAGGTTCCTTCACCGATCAAAAACCAGACACTTCACGTCAAACGGAGAGAGGTCTTTTTCAGATGCTTTTCTTCTCTCTGCTTAAAAAGCTCCATTTTCAATGGAAAGTTCTGGAACCGGGTCTGGAGCCGTACAGAGGAACAACACCAACGGCCAGGCGCCTGACTCCTTCCTAACAAGCCCTTGAGCCGGGAGGATCCCAGCAAAGGGGGAGGCAGCGGTTCCAGGGTCTTGTCAAGGTCAGCTGAGACTGGGCATATCTCAGTGGCTTCCAGGGTCAGCCAAATATCCGCTCTTTCCTGGCTCAGTCAGAAACGTGTAGAGCAGACGGAGGTCACGACAGCTAAACAAGAAAAGACAGAAGAACCAGCCCACGGCCTGTTTCAGACTCAGTGGGCTGCGGACTAGCCTTGGGGTGACCACAGCTGTGGGTTCTGCTCATGCCTGCATGAGCCAAGAGCTGAAGACCCCAAGCCACTGTGTGACCCGTCTCCTGACTAACCGCTATCCAACCCCATGCTGATTCTTCTTTTTTTTTTTTTTCAATTTTGCTCATGACGAAGCGGCCCCCGCCAAGTGCCAGGGCCCAGGCCCCACGTGGAGACGGCCCCAGCAGGCTCCTGGGAGACATGGTCAGACAACATGGAGATCCACAAAACCACATAGGATGGCATGGACACAGAACCGGAGACACATCTTTGGTTCGAACCTTGGCAAAAGGTGTGAACACAGAACGTGGACTCAGCACGTTTGAGGAATGCTGCTTTCCTCAGAGAAGACGTGGAACTGCATTCTGAACGTGATCCCCGCCGCGTGAGGCTGCTCAGAGCTTACAGCAAACTCGTCCCACCGAAACCACACTTGGTTTCTTGGCAGCTCGAAAACTGCACTGAGCAGAGGTAATGAACGATGCCTTCCAGATGCATCCACATCCAACCTTAACATCTTCTCTCTTTCTCAATCATCAACTGTAAGTATGTCCCATGCCTTCCAGAAGGTTCAGGCTGTGCTGGTATGGTGGGAAGAACGCAGGGCGCGCCATGATCATGCCCTCCTGCAGGCCACGGGAGGGCCAGTGGCCACTGGAAACATCACTTGGGAGAGTGCCAGCGCCCTCCATGCGTATCCTCTCGTGAAAACACGAGTTTGGTAGGATCGCTTCTCATCTCCCCACCCAGGTTTTTTTAAATTCTGTTACTTCTATCTGACATCCCCTAAGAAAAAATCATCTTTGGAAAAGATAAGCCGATGCTTAGCAAGGTTCAACCAAAACAGAAGATGGCAAATGTGTGTCCCCTTTGGCCTTTTCCTTTCATTGGGGTGCCCACGCTTTGGCTCTGTCCTTGCCCCCCTGTCCCTTCCCACACAGAGGGAGGGGGTGTCCTGCTGACGGTGCCCCGGGCCGGGCAGTTGGGTCAGGGGCTCCTCGGGCCGGCAGGGATTCACCTCTACGAGAGGAAGGGGAACCGCCCTGGGACACCGCCAGTCACATGGGGAGAAGTCACAGTCCTGAGAGGCAGCCACAGAGCACACAAAGTGAGCAAAGATCCCGAAACAGGCTGGGATGTGAGCAGCCCAGAGGCCGATGCCCCCCAGCGGCCCAGCAGAGGGAGGTGGGCAGGTGGGGGAGGGGTGGGCGGGAGGAGGACAGGAGGACGCTGCCCCTCTAGCCACCCCTCCTGGAAAATTCCAGCATCTCCGGGGTCCCTGCGCAAACCCGGCAGGCTTTGGGTCTGTGGGTGTGAGCCGCTCAGAGCTGGGACACGGCCCGGCAGCGGGAGAGGAGAGGCCCTGAAGGAGGCGCCCACGAGGCCTTCCAATCTCCACACCCCGATGCACGTGGGGAGCTCTGTTCCGTTACTTTCCTCAGAAATACCCAGAACCCTGCCCCTGGCCCAGGTCAGCACTGGCCCTTGAGCCCGTCCGGCACGTCGAAGGAGAGGCTCACGGGGGCCATGGGCTGCAGCGGAGGCAGGCTGGCCTCCAGGGGCCTGTCTGCGGAGGGCTGCAGGCTCTGCTGGCGTTTCCGCAACATCTGTCCGATGCCCATCATGGGGAACCTGCCCCGGCTTTTCACGCAGTTTGGGCTCCCCAGGGGCTGCGTGGTGCCATTACTGGGAGCCGGAGTTGGGGAACACATGCCCTCTTCCTTTGGGGGGCTGTTCTTTTCTTCGTGAGCAAAGGAGACCAGAGTGGGATGCAAAGGAGTTTGCAGAGGGGACAGGCTTCCGGGTAGTAGGGCCGGGGAGAGCGTCCGCTCGCCGGGATTCCCGCGGGCCAAGCCCCCGGGTGAGCCTAGAGCCCTATAGTGATGAGACGGGGACAGAGGTTCGGGGTGGTCCTCGCGATCCACGGACGCAAAGGAGCGTACCATATCCAGCACCAGGGGGTCTTCCTTGGGGGGGATGCCGGGGCCCCCAGGACCCTGCTGAGGGGGCTCCGGTCTCTTGACAATCCTGGGGGTCCGGGGGGGTGGGACGGGGATGAACTCCATGGAAGAAGAAGCCACACAACTGGAGTCTGAGGTTTTGCGGAAAATATTGCGGCAGCCGAAGGAATCTGCACCCAAGAAAGCAAAGGACATCATGAGGAGAGTCGCGTGAACGGGGATGTGAACGGCCCTCCCCTTCCTGCTTCGGCCTCTTGACCGAGACGACCCTTCCCCGGGGTCACCAGAAGGAACCAAGAAGCATAGGGCCCCAGCGTCCGGCGCTCCCCACAGGGAACCAGATGCTCTTCCTAGGATGGAGGGGACAGCAGGCTGGTGACAGGAGGCCTCCCGCGTTCCAGTTTGCCCATGGCACCACCTTGACATCTGCTCTCCTTCTGGCTGCTTAACATTCCAGACCCTGCCAACAAGTCTTTGAATCAGCAGACCCAGAAGCACACGCACCCAGCCCAGCAGGACCCGTGAATTTGGTCCTCAGACAAGCGACACTGGAAGGAGTGTTTCCCTCGTGACTCTTTTTTTTTAAATTGTGGTTAAAATAAATAACATAAAGTTCTCATCTTAACTGTTTTTCGGTGTAACAGTTCAGTAGTGTCAAATACATCGTGGTGTTGGGAAACAAAACTCTTCATGGTGGAAATCTAAAACTCTCCCCACTCAACAGTAACCCCTGTTCCCGGCCCCTGGCACCCACCATCCTCCTTTCTGTCTGTGACTCTGACTACGCCGGGTGCCTCACGTGAGTGGAATCTCTGGTATCTGTCCTTCTGGGACCGGCTTGTCTCACTGAGCAGAACGTCCTCAAGGCTCATCCGTGTTGTCTCAAGTGTCCGAATTTCTGCCCTCAAGACGCCCAACTGACCGGAGCCTCACCCGACTCTGATGGGGGTGACACGCTCCTCATCTCTACACAGAAGGCCATGAGCCCGTCCCCATGGTTTCCACGTCAGGTTGGCACCGCCTGGAATGCAGGTTTGCAGGCGGCGCCAGAAAAGAAAGGGAAACCCCCACCAACCTGCAGCGGAGGGAAATAAAGCCAAGTTCCTGCGGAACAAGCCCTGTCTTTGCTTCCCTTTTCTACCGGCCCACGTTTTAGGCCCCCGTCGAGCCTCAGCTGCAGGAACAAGCAGAGTGATTCACGAGCAGCCCAGGGCGCAGGGCATCCACTTGGCCTCACATAAATAAATCCACAGATCCCGGAATAATCTCCTCCTCGGGCCACCACAGATGCCTGAGGTTCACCGGCAGAGAGACGCAAAATTTCACCAAAGGGCTGACGTGTCTGATGTTCCAGCTGGCAGGAGAGCCTCCCCTCCCCTCCCCACCCCTCCCTGCCATGGCCGTGTGCTCCCAATTGGTGGCCCAACGTCGCCCTCTGCCCAGTCCTGCGTCCTTCACTTCCCTGGAGATGGAGAGCCTGCGAGGAAGCTTCCGAGCCGAGTCACTGGCCCGCACACTGCATCACCCCCCGCAGAAAGGGCCTGCTCACCAGCCCCCCACCCTGTGAGCACTCTGGCTGGCTCCTCTTCATCCATCCTTATCAGGAGGCAGGAGGCTACACGGGTCAGGAGAGAAAGCTCTAGAGCCAGGCGGCCCAACTGGAAATCTAGACTCTGTCAACTCACCAGCTCTCTGACTTTGTAGGGTTCCCTGTGCCTACGTCCTCTGCTCTAGAAGTGGGGGTGGGGTGAGCTAAGAGCTTGAAACAGGGTCTGCCACACAGTGAATGCTCAGTGCTAGCGACTAGGTAAGTTCTGACCTAACATGCTCTCAGATGCCAGGGTGAAGGAAAAAACGCAAAGAAACAAATGATAGCGGGCCCAGGAAAACTACCAGGCATGGAATCCACCTCGAGGGTAGCAAAGTTATCCAAAGTATCAGCCCTGACCTAGACTTTCTCAGGGACATCCGTCAAGGGCCCAAATTCGCTGCTGCCGACAAAGCCAGGAGGCAGAAGCACTAAGTGTGTGTGTGTGGGGGGGGGGGACAAGCAGAGCTCCTCCTGTGAGACCCCGCCTTTCGGGAAAGATCAAGAATAAAAGTGAATCAAATGGAATTTTCCTCTCTGGCTGAGAACCAGGTTTCTCTTCGGGGAACAGCCCCACTGTTTGAATCTCCCCAACACTTTCCTGCTTCGCCTGCCTGCTTTCCACACCGCTCACCACTGTCCCGGAGGACGGAGCCTCGTATTTATCAGTTACCTGATGTGCTGGACTCTGAAAGGGCGGACAAGCCCATGTGTGTACCTCATTTAATCCACACAGTAGCTCCGACAGGTGGGTTTCTTTGCGCGAGTAAGGGAACAACTTTGGATCCTCTGAGGGTCAGGAACTTAGCTCACGACAAGCCAAGAGAGCGGGGTCTGAGCCCCCAACCCCCAGCCCAGAGCCCAGACTCTATCGACCATGCTTCAGGGCGTTGTTCCACAACCCCCGTCTCTATTCCTGCATCCCAATCGCGACTCCTGAAATATTTTGTACCCTGATCTCTGCTCCCTCCCACAATACCATGTACCCCGTCTCTGCTCCCACAAGACAGTGCACCCCACCCCTGCTGTCTCAAAGCCTGCCAGCACGGGTGGCCAATACCACGTGGTCTGGGCCTTGACGGTTCTCGGGTTCCCTTGGGTGTGCTCAGCACTCTCCCACGGGCACAAGATTCGTGTATGTCCCAGGCGCCCACACAGCCACCCATGAGGGGGACGCAGTGACCACGCATCTCAACACAAGGGGCCTAACCGGTAGCCTGAGCTGACCCACCTTTGTCGGGGAAGCCGGACTTGGGGGCCTTCCGGTCCTTCAGCAGAGCTTTAGTGTTCTGAATCTGCGAGATGAGAGAGGCAGAGGGCTGTTTGTGCGAGGGCACGTTCTTGTCCAACTTCTTGGAAAACGGCCGATGAAGAAAATCTCCTCTTTTTTCTTGTTCTTTGGGCTTTTCATCCTTCAAGTCAGAAGTAAACACATGTACTCACACACACACAAATACACAACGTGACTCCCTTTTGAAGAATTATCCAAGGAGATTTGAGAAAGCCCAGCCTCTCAAAACTCTGTTCTCAACTGCACGTTGAACAACAGAAGAGCGTCCCGCAGATGCTCCAGGGAGCCCCCCTCTTCCCCTCCCTGGGCCACAGGCCGGCTCCCGTCACCCCCAGCTCCCTGCACGGCACTGTTTCGAGGTGTTCCAGCAAGGGCAAGGTCACCCCGAGGAGATCAGTTGTTCCAGAACACGCTGGAGGAGCTAAGGCAAAGCACATGAAGACTTCTGGAAATCTGTAGTCTTCTCTAAAGCAGGACCCCCAGATTCTGCCCACGGCAGCGGTTTTGCAAATGAAATGCAACCACTTCCATCTCCTTGTCTACTCATGTGTGTTCAGTCAAGCCAAGGAGGTGGGAGCCCTGAGCCATCCTGGCCGTTTCTGAGCCTTGCCCACCCTCGGTCACGCAGGCCCTCGCCTGTGTGCTTAACACCAGCATTGTTTAGCCATTTTTGCTCTAAGTCTTGCCTTTCCTGAACTCTATTATAATCCCTCTGACAGGAGTGAATTTTACTGTTTTCTGTATCTTCCACCCCACAGCCTCTGGCATAAAGCCAGGCACATAGAGAAGGCTTAATAAATAGCTATTGAAATGTTAAAGAAAAAAAAAAAAAAAGCCAGTGAAAACCAAACTGAATTAAAATCGAGTTCAAGCTTCTGGGAAGGGTGATAACGGCTCCGAAGTTCCTTCTCTGGCCCCAAAGAGTGTTTGATGTTTACTGTTTAACAGAGTCCCTGACCTCACGGCCAGTGAGGGGGAAAAAAAAAAGACAGTTTCACATTTTTGCCTTCAACGTTAAGAGCATTAGCAATTCAAGAGAGCTCATCCATTTTTCATGGATGTTGTTGAAAAGCTTCTTAAGGAAGCCCCTCCTTGTGCCTGTAAGGCCCTTTCCAAGGGGGATTTTCAAAGCCTTTCCAGAGTGGGGTTCCTTACGTCGCCCAGTTGGCGGGCGGGAGAAAATGGGAGGGAAGGAACTGGAAGTGGGGGTACCGCGCAGAGCCTCAGGGTCACCGTGGGGGCCACAGCCCCTGGGGGACGCTGTGGCTATCCCCAGGGGAGGGCTGAGGCGGGAAGAAAGGAGAGGCAAAGCCCGGAAAGTGGGTGTTCTCCACCCTTGCCGCCGCACGCCCTCTGGAAGCCTGGGGCAGGGCCAGGCGAAAGGCGGACCCAGGGGACACAGGGGCTGGCGAGGGACGGCGACCAGGCTGTGGTCCCCGGGCTCCAGGTCGGCACTGGGGATGCCACGGAGGACACTTGTGCTCCAGGTCATGATGCAGGATGTTACCGAGGCGAAAGGGGCGGCCACCTGCTCCAGCCCATCTCAGTCAAGGCCACGATCCTCCACTGCTTCCCTCTCCATGTTTCAATGAAACACCAACAGCCCCCTTCTCTAATGCAAAGGGGAGCGAGCTTTCACACTTCCCTGTGCCCCCAAGCATCAAAGGGCACATGACAGGCTTGTCCTGAAAAGTCTGGCAAAATTTCCTCCTCTCATGCTGTTCTTTCTACCTCTGTTTTTATGAGAAAAATCACCAGGTCCACTGTTTACACTCCAAATGGCAAAAAGGCAATCAAATGCACTTCTATGAAACACCGTAAAACAGTATTGGAAGGAAAGACAAGATTGCAGTTCCCTCCTTTTCAGGACTGTGTTCTAGAACAATGAGTACAGCTTCCTTTGGCCTGCTCTGGGATCCCTACTCTTTAGAGGGCTGCCTGGCTTCGTGGCTTCATCTTGGCTCCTCCCCAACTCTCTCTGGCTTCTCAAAAGCCAAAGGGTCAAGATGCAAAGTTTCTGGGGGCCAGCACCACCACCTAACCCTAGAGTCCATTAGCACTGAGAGGTGTACTACGCATGAATTTTCTGCAGAAAGAGCCCAAGGTTGGCTCTAGAAATCTCTTCGGTAACTGACAAAGGGATATTTGGCACCAAACAGAAAGCCCCTATGGAGGGGTGGGGGGGCGAAGGATGGGGCGAATGGAATGAGGACACCTGCTGGGCCACTCTGTTGAACTTAATCCCAGGATCCTGCACCCTGGTGTTTTCTCCAAAAGCCCCCAGGAGGCCCTTCTCCAGCCCAAAAGAATGGGTGATTTCACGGTGACCAGTTTCTTAGGGGGATACCAAGAATTCACCACCCAACAGATCCCTGCCGGGGATAAACTGCTGGATCAGTCCCTGTGGATGGGTCGGCAGCCCACACGAGAAACGCGTTTTGTGTACCACCAGCCAATCTCAGCACCCTCCAAGCACAGGTGAAATGCAACCTATCATCCAATTATACCTTTTCATTTGCATGCCCTATTTCCTCCACAAGAGGTCTAGGGAACAGGATGCAAAAGTGCTTTATGTAAAAGAAACGGATCTTCAGAGGGACTCATTATGCTCCCCCTTCGACATGCCCACACCCACTCCCCTCCCAGCGATGCTGCTGCCTCTCTTCGGCTTTCTTCTGATTCTCACAGGCTCCCCACACCCGCATCCCCCCAACCAAACTCCCCAAGGCAGATGAGAGAGGGGACCCCGTGAGGCCCCAGAAGCAAGCCCCACACAAAACAGCTTCCGGTTTCCTATAAACCACATTCCACCCACTGCACAAGTGCGTGGACATTGACAAAACTGGACGCTTTGAAAATGTGGCCTCATAAAGGACTGTCTACCCAAGACTCTCCCAGTGTCATGATTGTTTGAGAGGAGACAGGAAGAAGCTAGTGAGTGATGGTGCACCGGGCTTCTGAAAGGATCCGTCTGTAGGCCCAACAGGCAGTGGGAGGAGGAAAAGCAGGTCCTCAGCCTCTGAGATCTGAGCCCCAGGGCTGGTCCCTTGAGACTCATCCCTGTGACTCTAGCCTCCTGTGTTCCAAAGAGCGGGCCCCCTCCGCCTTCCTCCCCAGCTTTGCTCCTGTGGGTATAACAGGGTGACCTTCCACTGGGATGACCCAGGGGCCTGGGTGTTGCTTGCTGGTTGCTTTGGGAAAGCCACAGAGATCTGATTTTGCCGCAGGAAAAACACAACAGAGCTGAGAAAAAGAGGGCTTGGTTCATAAATTAGGCCACAGAAGCTCTGGACTGTTGCACAGCCCACTTCTCATATAGGTAGAAACATGAATGCATAACCAAGTGTACAGTTACAGCAAGACAATAAAAAATGGTCAACTAAACATAGAAAGCACCAGTCTGATCTGAGGGGATTCTAATAAACCCACTCACAATCGGATTCTGCATTTCAATTCCAGAGCAGGATAGGGGTACAGAGAATCCAGAGAGCCCTGAGCAAAGACCCACCAACCTTCAGGGTCATATGTGAAGGTTAATTTCAAGTGTCGACTTGGCTAGGCCCTAGTACCCAGTGTTTGGTCAAACAGCAGTCTAGATGTTGTGAAGGTATTTTTTAGATGCGATTAAATCAGTAGGCTTTGAGTCAAGCAGAGGGCCCTCCACAATGTGGGTGGGCCTCATGCAATCAGTTGAAGGCAGTAAGAGGAAAAAGACTGAAGTGTCCTGAGGAAGAAGGAATTCTGCTTCCAGAAGGCCTTGGGACTGAGCTGAAGCATCCACTTTTCCCTGGGTATCCAGGCATCTCACACACACACACACACACACTCTCTCTCTCTCTCTCTCTCTCTCTGTTGGTTCTTCCCGGAGAACTCGAACTAATCCATCATAACCCCCAAGTTCTTACCTGCACAGCATGGAAGTCAAGGTCTCTTGTCCAGGTGTCCAGGGAGGCCTATGAAAAGCAACATTTTCAACAATTTAAGAAGCTGTACCTGCCGTTTATCCCCTAAACTCTATCTCCTGCCACTTGCAGCTCTGGCTGAGAATTATTTGTTTCCATGTTTAGAGACAAGAAGCCAAACTCCTAAACCATCGTGCAACTAGGCAGCAGATACTCTACTTCATGCACTGAAGAGATTTTCTAGGTAAGTTTTTATTAAGTCTAAGACACCTAACGGAGGAGTGCTCTCCTGGCAAGGAAGCGGTTCAACCAATGCATTTTCCCCAAGAGCAAAAACATGCACAGAAGCAGCACCCAGATCGAGATACAGAACCCAACTGGTAACCCCACCGGTGTCCTCTCCCAGCCCCCAAAGGTAACCACCATTCCGATTTCCAACAGCACCGATTGTCTGATCTGATTCCAGACTTTATTTTTACAAGTTGCATAGATTTGAAACAAGACACCAAGCGAACATTTTAATATTCTCCCTTTAAACTTACTGCCCCTGTGATGGGTTGAATTGCATTCCCCCAAGTTCCTATGTTGGAGTCCTCACCCCCAGGACCTCAGAATGTGACCTTCTTGGAAGACAGAGTCAGGACGGTTGGCGGATCATGTCCCCTTTGATGCTTGGGGGAAAGGGGCGTGTGAAAGCGCACTCGCCTTCGCCTTTGAGGAGGGGGCCTGCTGGGGAATCACCTTTACGGAGGTCATCCAGCCCCAATGCAGTGGGACTGAGATTCTCATAAAAGGGGGGAAACTGGACATAGAGACGCACCTGCAGAGAAGAGCTGCAGGCAGAGATCAGTGGTGCTATAAGCCAAGGAACCCCAAAGCCAAGGAACCCCCAAGATCCCGGTAACCCCCAGTAGCTAGGAGGCACGGGACAGGTTCTCTCCTCGCTGCCCTCGAAGGGAACCAGCCTTGAGCTCAGACTTCTGGCCTCCGGAACTGAGGGACAGCGAATCCCTGCTGTTCGGCGCCCTGTGTGTGACCCTTTGTTACGGCAGCCCCCGCACGCAGATCCGGTCCCTCTGCCACCACCCCCCGCACAGCGTCCTTCCCACGCTGCCCCGTGACTGCGCTGCTGAGAAGCCCTCCGAGGCCGAGCTGACATTGCTCTGCACCTTAGCGGATTTTAACAAACATGACCTCTGGCTCCATGCGGCTCTCAGAAGCCAGTTTCAAAATGACGAGTGCCCCTCCTCGACCTCCCCCGTCCTCGAGGGCCTCTTTTTTTTTTTTTAGGAAGAGGAGTCCCTGGGGCACACGCTTGAGGCGTTCTCAGATGAAACATGTGTCCCACTTTTACAGACATATTTGCCACCTTTTAAAGGAAGAGGAGGAGGAGAAAGGAAGAGGAGGAAAGAAGTCGTACAAGAACAGCCCTGTAATCCCAAGGGGGGCATTTTTTTCAATTTAATTCAGCTCTTTTGTCTCCTAGGAGAAAAAGAACTGGAACTGAGAAGAACAAAGAGGCCACGCGCGCTCCCGGGGCCGGGACACGGGCCCGGAGCCCCCCACCCCCCACCCCAGCCAGCCTGCACTTCTCCTGGACCAGCGCATGGCGACTGGAAGGAGGCGCATGGAGGCTCTGAGGAGGCGGCTTCACCGAGAAACCCTGGGCCCTTTCAGCTACTCTGAACACGTTTTCTAACTGGCCCCATTCCACTCTCTGGGCTCCAACAGAGGCGGGTTAGATAATCTAGTAACGGCCTGTAATTTAATTAGTACAAGTATCGCTGCCTTTGGAGAAAACAAACGGATCATAGAAAATTGAAATGCTCTTTTCCCATTAGCGTTCCTATTTAAACCCTAACCGTTAAATATTTCAACAAATGTTTAAAACACTCGCCATGTGTTTTCAGGCCAAACGAGATAATCATCCGAGAAAAATAATCTGGGTGGGGGAAAAAAAAAAGGCCCCTTTCCCATGACAGACGCTTTCAAACAAACAATCACAGGGGTCAGGTTCGAGGGCAACCAAGGACACGGACGTCAGCAAGGTGGCTCAGAGGCCACCGCGGGCACACACATGGGGCACTAAGTGCATTGTTACTTGAGCCCCTCAAGAGTCGAATGCAGACCAAGAGGCAAGAAAGCCTCACGGTGAATTCTGCATCCTCTGCACCCCAGCTGAGGTGATGACCCTCTGAGCAAGTGACCAGGAGATGTCCCTCCCTGCCTTAGGGCTTGGGCACCTGGTAATGACGGTGAGACTTGGGTGCTAGGCTGCAGGTGTGTCCCCCACTGCAGTCAAGCTAGGTGTCCCTCCTGGATCATTCCACCTTCTTCCCTCGTGGTCCCAATTCTACCTGCGACCTGGGGCAAGATCCACCTGATTCTTTAATTTGTTCATGTAGCAAATATTTGCTGAGCGCCTACTGCATGCCAGAGCATTGTGTGGGACTCTAGGGATACTATGAGGAGCAAAGGGGACACACTCCCTGCTCTTAAGGAACTCACGGTCCAGAGTGGGAGAGAGACGTGAGTCAAACACTCCCTGAGCAAACAGAACGTGCAAATGGGACGAGCTCCAGGACGCAGGATGGGGTGTGACAGCCTGTGGAGAGATGGGACCCAATGGCAGAGGTCAGAGAATGGCAGGGGTTAGAATCTGAAGAGAGAAGATACCAGTCAGCAAAGAGAGGTGAGGGGAACATTCTGGAAGAGGGAACAGGGTATACACAGCGCTAGGAGCCAAGAGAGCACAGAAGTCTGAAAGGCCCCGTGGGTCTGAGCCCACAGCAAGAAGACGGGCTGTGTGTGTGGGTCTGGGGGACAAGGCTGGAGAGGCAAGCAGACGCCAGGCTAATCCGCGACATGGCGGCCATGTCACCGACTTTGCCTTCCAGGTTAAGGAAGCCTTCGAAGACTTGGAGCAGGGAAGTAACGTGATCCCACCTGAGTGTGGATGGCTCGGCTCTGGCTGGTGTGCAAAAAAGGGAGAGCCAGGGGTTCATGGGGAAGGGGGGGCGACCAGTTAGGGCTGTGGCCAACATCCAGGCCGGAGGCGGTGGTGTCTGGGGGGTGGGAGGGCAGAGACAGAGGGGGTGGTGGGGTTTGAGATGTTTAGGAGTCAAGCTGGCAGATCCTGCTGACAGGATCTGAGGCTGGGGGAAAGTAACTCCTGGGTTTCTGCCCTGTACTGAGGGTGGGGCTGCCATCTGCAGAGACACTGGGGGTGGGGCGGTTCCAGGCACGCTGGTTTGGGGACACCTTCGCTCATGCAGGAGGAGGTTTAGTAAGCAATTGGCCGGAGGGGTCTGGAGCTCAGTGGAGTCTGGCTCCTACACCACCTCCGCCCTCCTGCCCTCAGCCCGAAAGCGGGCTTGCTGCTCAGCCCCAGCGCACACCCGGCCCCCCCCCCAAAGCTGATGTGCATCCTGATCATGCTGGTGCTGCAGCCTGTCTCAGAGGAAGGAGGCCTCCAGCCTGGGGTCACCACCCCCAGCCATCCCTGGAGTTCCTCCCAACTTCCTCTGCCCTCACTCCTCCCAATCCCGCATCCTTCAAGCGGGGCGGGGGGCGGGGGGACACGGCCTCTCCTTCCCTTCACTGCCAAGGCCACCAACAGAGAGGTCTACGCTCACTGTCTCCACTTCCCTTCTTCCCCTTCTGAAACCCATGCAATCTCTTTCTGCCTTTGCCACTTCCACGAGCTGGTCTCTGTAAGAGCCCCCAGGGTCTAACTAACTGCGCAGCCGACACCACTGACCATTTTACACTCGGCCTCTCCCACGGTCTCCCTGGTGCCATTCCCAGCAGCGTCTCCTGCATGCTCCCTGGCCACCCCTGTCATCCTTGCCTCCGTGCCTCCTCATCCCCACCTCCTTCAATCACAGCGTCCCCTAGGCTGGGCCTAGATGGGACAGCCGTGCCGTTCTGCCTTGCCTTGACGCTCAGGGGTGGCCTTCCCTGGGCTCCTGTCACATTTACACGTGACAACTCTGTGTCACCTGTGTAACTGGACTGGCCTGGGCCGTGCCCCACGTGCTCTCTGTCGCTGCCAAGGAGCCTAGCATGATGCTCAGTCACCACCCACCCTCACTGCAGCCTTTGCTCAGGAAAAACCAGGGAGAACTTCCTTCTCTGGTGACAGGCCCAGCTCGTGCAATAATCAGGATGAAAACGGAGTCCGAAAAGGGAGGAGGGAAGTGGGCAGGCCCGTTGGCCTCAAGCAGGGCATGGGGGGCTCCCCTTTTGATCTCTCCTCAAACGAAAACATTCCGGAGGCTCGGGAGGGGAAATCAAGTAGATTCCCAGGAAAATCAGCAAGAAGGCAGAGAAGCCGCATCTGACAAAGTGCCGAGTGAGGCGTCCGGGGCGGGGGGGGGGAGTGGGGGCACGGCCTCACCCCGGGCCCTGGGTCTGGCTTCCCAGGCAGTCTCTTCCCAAGCATGCATGTGGGGTCTGAAGTTGGTACAACTTGCCATATGATACTAGTTTTTACTCTGAAATCAAAGAATCTTGGTATTTTCTCTTACGTATGTACTAGGCAGCATCAAGTTGCAAGGACAGGTGCCCGGAAAAGCTTACTTTCATCCAGCACTTTTTCCTGTCCCTCATTTTACTTTCTCCTTCTGATGCCAAGCGTTACACTCATGTATATTTTTGAGCATCTCATTTTTGCCTTTTGAAGACTTCACAATGGTTTCCAACCTTGGCCACTCAATGGCATCAGCCAGGGAGCTTTAAAAAATACTGAGCCCCCCCCC